AAGAAATTTGTTCAATACAACTGAGGCTCTTAAAAATGATGTAGATCAAAATAGAATCGAACATTACATTATGCCATGGGGATTGTACCGTTCAATCGATGATCTTGTCGAAACAGTTAATGAAACATCGATGGAAGATCATTTAACTTTTACAGTAAATAAAAATGGCTATGTTAGTGCACAGCGTTCATGTGTACATTGTGTAAATAACGAGCATACTTTCCTTCTATCTCCAACATTGGCACGGATATTCGGATATAATACGAAGGAATATAATATATCGCTAAATGATATGTCTTGGGTATCATCTAGACCAGCTAGCTTGATCAGAGCGTTACCTACTTCAATGTTCATATACACGGATATATGTGAACCTTACATTACAGGTGATGTGCAAACACCGTTACTCCGTACCGTACCTTTAGATATAGAAGCATACGTTTATGGTTCAGTCAAACATAAAAGTTTCTCAACGGCTAAATATATACCTCTACTTCATACGTCTTTTCAAACAATTGAGATCGATATAAGAGATGAATTTGGGCAACCTATACCATTCGAATATGGCACATTGACTGTAACGCTTCACTTTAAAAGATTAGATTAAATAATACATTAAAAGAAATGACAGCCTATGATGAATATTTTGATATCCAATACGGCGGTGGTCGGCAAAGCGGAATTGAACATGTGTACATTGGTACATCAAATCAACGCGGTCATGGAATTGGTAGTTTCCTTGGAGGCCTCTTTTGTCGTGTTTTACCTCTTTTATCAAAAGGTGCGAAGGCGATCGGTAAAGAAGTTGTTCGTTCTGGAATGAACGTAGCTCGCGATGTAATACAAAGAGATGTTCCATTCAAAGAAGCTTTTAATACTCGCATGAAAGATTCAGCTACAAATTTAAAACGGAAAGCCGAAGAAAAGATCGATATTCTTATGAAAGGATCAGGATATAAATCCATGAGAGAGTCGAAAATAAAACATTTAATTAACACCCGTGACAGTGGTCATATCGCGAAAGAACAGAAGAGGAAGAAGAAGAAAAAGAAGAAGACAATTCGATCTAAGACAAATACGTTAAAAAATAAAAAGAAAAAGAGATATTCTCGAAACAATCGTACTGTTGTTGACATTTTTCAATAATATATTCGCCGTAAAATAATAGCAAATATGTCTTTTTTACACACTCATTCATGCGAATGTCTCAAATCGGAATTGGAATTATTCACTGTTCCACCAACGCAAGCCACAATCGAAAGTTCACAATGGATACACTACAAGCCAATATCATCGTTAACTGATGATTCACCTATAGAATTTGTAGTACCCGGACTAGGAGAGGAATACATCGATCTACCGCATACAATGTTAAGCATCAGTGTCCAAATAAGGCCAACGATTCATAAAGAGCCTTCAAAAGATGGAGATACCACTGATTATGTCGGGCCTGTGAATAATTTTATGCATTCATTATTCAATCAGGTAGATGTATTTTTCAATCAAAAACTTATATCACCACCGAATAATGCTTACGCTTATAGAGCTTACATAGAGACATTACTTAATTATGGTCCTGCTGCTAAAAACTCTCATTTAACAAGCGTATTGTGGTACGAAGATAAAAGCGGATCCATGGATGATCTACTCAACGCAAACGATGGCCTTGTAAAACGTCGCGTATTGACAGCCGATGGCAAGAAAATTGATCTTATGGGGCATTTACACTGTGATGTTTTTAATCAAGAAAGATTTTTAATAAATGGTGTAGAAATGCGTTTGCGAATAGTGCGATCGAGAGATACATTCTGCCTTATGGATCAAACCGAACGAAATTTCGAAGTTCATATAATTGATGCTACACTTCTTGTTAGACGTTCAAAAATTTCACCTGGTATGTTGTTAGCACATGCCAAAGCTCTTGCGAAAACCACAGCAAAATACCCCCTCACACGTGTCGAAGTGAAATCTATATCTATACACAGTGGTATATACGGTGAAACGCTCGACAATGTGATATTAGGTCAAATACCGAAACGTTTAATCATCGGTTTTGTTGATAATAGAGCATTTAACGGTAATCGTATGCTGAATCCTTTTAATTTTCATCATTACAAAATTAATTTTTTATCTCTGTACGTGGATGGTACACAAATACCTAGCAAACCGTTACAACCCGATTTTACAAAGGAGAAATTATATATGGAGGCCTATCACACTCTTTTTTCTGGAACAGGAATTCATTTTTTAAACGAGGGCAATGCTATTTCTCGTAAGAATTATCCAAACGGTTATTGTCTTTTTGCATTTGATCTTACACCGGACCTTTCAGCAAACGATACTACGCATTGGAATTTAATGAAGCATGGTAATGTTAGAATCGAAGTTCGTTTCGAAGAAGCATTAGAAAATACGATAAATTGTATTATTTATGCCGAATATGACAATATTATGGAGATTGATGCATCAAGACAGGTGATTGTAGACTATGGTGGTTAAGAACGAGAGAGAGAGAGAGAGAGATCGTTACTACGAATTCATAGCCTACTGGCTATGCAAATATTCAACGCAGATGAAACTTGATACTAATATAGGCATTATAGGAAAAAGAACTTCGGGAACAAGCATTATAGGAACGGATATTATAGAAACGAAAAGCTTAAACGTTATGAGCATATAACTTCAATCATCAGTCGGCACTAGTTCTTGAGTGTATACACTACACTATTACTACCAGTTATTCATATATATATATCTTTCTCGCATTTACAGTTATAAATATGAATATCGTTATTGATATACAAGGATTCAAGAATACGGAGGAAGATTTTTTTCCAAAAGAAGTTGCTATTGTCTCCATAAATAACGACCATTGCGCTCATTGGATTATTGCACAACCATACTCCTTTACCGAGCTATCAACCCGTTCAAAATCTCAAAACAATTGGCTCAGTAAAAATTTCCATGGTATTGAATGGTTTGAAGGAGATACACCATACAAAAACTTATATCGACATTTGAGGACAATTGCACAATTTACGAACCGAATATTCATAAGAGGCCGAGATAAATCAGCTTTTCTCCATCGTATTACAAGTAGAAACATTATAAATTTAGAAGAAGAGGAGAAATGTCCACCATTTCATCAATTACCGCAGTTAAAGCAAACGTGCCTTATCCATAGTATAAAAATCAAGACAAATAATCGGGAATATACATGTGCTTTAAATAATGCATTGCGGATAAGAAAGTGGATTAAAGATTACGCCTTTCTGGATTCTGCATCTTTGTCAACACCGTTGTCGCCTCCATCTCCATCGTTTTCTATGACGTGGTATAACCGCGATAATAGTCATAATACAAAAGAAGAAGAAGAAGAAGAAAATAATTCTCTTGAAAATTCTTGGTGGCTATGAATAGTTTGCAATTACGGGCTGCTTTACAAAACATACCCTGCGATACTATAGGCGTTTATGCTGCGGACGAGATACCTACGTTTTGGAGTAAACCTGCTGCTATTATCGCTAATACTGACGACCATACAAAACCTGGAACACATTGGGTCGCTATGTACGTCGGACGGGACGGCGTCGGACACTATTTCGACAGCTACGGGTTACCACCTATCATCCCACAGCATCTCGCCCGCTATAGAAAAAACTGTAAAACCTTATTTTACAACACTCAACAATTTCAAAGTAATACCTCTGATGTATGTGGACAATTTTGTGTTATGTTTGTGCACTTTATGTGTACTGGTTTTGGGATGCATCAGTTTCGTGATATTTTTTCGAACAATTTATCAAGAAATGACAAAATAGTACGCGATTATTACAATTCATATATGAGGCGTCATTACATTTCTAAAGAAAATCAATTTATAGGGCGTGGAATTTCTAATTCAAATGTTGTATCACGAACACAGAGCTGTTATTCGCGAAAATAAGAATAAATGTTTAACATAGTTTTACATAAATATATAATTTAATTAAAAAAACTTGTAACCATGCATTATTATATGTCCAATAAATAAATAAATATATATAAACTTTGAAATTTAATAAAATTGTAATCATTAATGTCTTCAATAAAATAAGTACATATACATTTATAATTCAATAAAATATTTCTATAACCCCTTCATTACATTTAGCTATTAGTTACAACTATCGTCTCGTATAATAGCAGCACTATGGGGACACATCGACGTTGTAGTAGTAGTAGTAGAGAGAGAATTAATATCATCTCGTAAAATTGTAGCACTATAGGGAACCGACAGCGGTACCAGCGTCGTAGTGGTGGGGATAACGTCAGTAGTATGCTGGTCCACTTGCACTCATCAGTGCTAACGTTAGCAAAGAGCCGAGCAGTCTACACCCGGACGAGTTCTACGCATTGTGGCCACAGCTCGTTAAAATATGTCTACCACCCCTCCATTACATTTAGCTATTAGTTACAACTATCGTCTCGTATAATAGCAGCACTATGGGGACACATCGACGTTGTAGTAGTAGTAGTAGAGAGAGAATTAATATCATCTCGTAAAATAGTAGCACTATAGGGAACCGATAGAGGTACCAGCGTCGTAGTGGTGGGGATGACGTCGATAGTAGAGGGATTACTAATATTTCGTAAAATAGCATCACTATGGGAAGCCGAGAGGCCCGCTGGCGTCGTAGCGGTGAGGATGATGTCAGTAGTAGAGGGGGGCGATCATTTCGTAACATAGTACCACTATGGGGACCCACCCGTACCACTGGCGCCGTAGTGGAGGGGGTTGGCGCCAGTGACGTCACAGGCGAGTCCCCATAGTGGTACTATACTACTTATGTATGTATGTATGTATGTATGTATGTATGTATGTGTGTATAAACGCGTAGACAGTATATATAAAGATAGTGCGTAAAGCTCTTTTCATTCAATCGTAATCTTACGAGCGTTACGACATGGACCGAGTAAACGATTATCTGCATAGAAAGTGGACCAAGCTCAAGGGATACCGTCGGTTAGACGACGATCGTGAGCCGCTGTGCCCACCGAGCCCCCCACCGTCGAAGAAAAATCAAAGATATTATTGGGAGTTGCCTCCATAAAATACGTGGAAAAATACATCTTCGACGAAAAACCAAAGATATTGTAATTGGCCTCTAGAAAATACGTCGACAGATACGACTTATAAGTCGACGTCTTCATCATCGTCAAAAAATAGATACGAACGTCCCCGAATGCCCCCTCCCCTCCCCCGCCATTGTGGAAAAAAGCGCGGGAAGCAGGGAACACGTCATCAAAAGATAATACATCATAAAAATATAAATAATAATGTATGTATGTACGTATACACATAGATGAATTCGCGGTAGAAAGAATACATAGAAAGTTGCGATAAAACTTGTCGCGACAGGTTTGCAATTCTCGGAAAGAGAATTTACCCCCTCTCTCTTCGATTTACCTCCCTCTCTTCAATTACAGAAGTATTACAATAAATTTAATACGCCGATGTGATCAGTATTGCTATATTCGCTTGCACGAACGGATCAAAAATGTTTCGCTTTGACTCCACCACAGAGAGCGAACTGAAGAAGGAACCGAAGAAGGAACCCGACGCGTAAGTTTTAATATTCTATACAGAAAAAAACACTTTTCTTCCTATAACATTATGCATGTAATTACGTTATTACAGGATAAAGCGTCGCGCGGTGCGCATACTGAATCGACGATACGACCTGACCGCTACGGGTTACAAGTTTTTGGAAATTGGAATCAACGTTGATCCACCGAGTTACGTGGACATCGTTCTGGGAGATCATCACGGACGCGAACTGTCGTTGTCTCTCGAAACGTGGAAAGGTCTCTACGAGCAGCGATGGAATATCTACAAATTGCTGCGGAACGAGTACAAGGACAATTTTATAAACGTTGGACAGCTAACGATCAGAATCTGCACGCATAACGACGTTACGCTCGTACGACTCGAATTTTCGACCGTACACATGACGATGATCGAATCGACGCTGCGCCGAATGTTCGATCTCGACGGATGCATCGACGTAACGTTCGAACGATTAGCCCGACTCGTTGATACGGTCGATGCCAAGTATACGCGCTTCTCCAATGTCGCGAACGCTATACGCGAGAGTGATATCTTCGACAAACGCCAGCTCGTCGATTGCGAGCTCTTGGCTTTAGTTTTTAACATGTAAGAAAATATTACTGCGAAAAAATAAAAAAATAAAAAAATAAAAAATCTGAATACATTGTACGACACATTACTGTGTAAACCATTATGAATAAATATTCTTTGGCTCTATTATTTTATGCGTACTTTCTTTACTCTCCTACCGAAGAGACGCATGTGTGCTCGATGTATCCTATGCCTCTACGCGCTATCGCTCTGTTTACATAAATAGCTCTTCTTACCGCAGAGCCTCTTCAAGTCTCGGATCATATTTCACCAAATTAATTGCCTATGGGTCAATCCTAGGCTTCGTCTTAGCGACGAATGCTTTTCAGCGTCAGTATTCCTTTGTTTCGCATACGGTGAAGATTTCTGTTTCGACTCCGCAGTTCATTTTTACAGGCATCGCATCTTTTGTTTCCACTTTTTTTTTTTATACGGTTTTACAGTAAAGACGTGATCTCAGGAAATCGATTCAATTAAATCCTCTAGAGACGGGGCGCCATTAAATAAATAATAAAAATAATATTTGTGAGTGCGTGCGTCTGTGAGTGCGCTACTAGAATGCACCTACTAGAGCCGATTAAAAAACAACTTTTTGGGGAGGAAGAGGAGGATTTTACTCCTCAAGAGGAGGAGGTGATAGAGGCAGAGGTGGAGGTGGAGAACGAGGAGGAAGAGGAGGATAACAACACCAACGACGGGGAGGAGAACGTCGTCGACGAGAACATCGAGGAGGAGGAAGAGGATGATCCTCCTCCCCTCCCGATTGACCTAGATCAAGTGGACCCCGACGACCTGATCCGGTTCGTCGGGCATTACCTTCAAGTGGATAACGTGGTGGACCTGTTCCACCTCCTCGTCCACCTGTTGGATGAGGAGGAGGAGGAGGAATCGGACTAGGCCGTCGGGGGAAGGAGGAGAAGAAGGAGGAGGGTAAGAAAAAAATTACTTATCTATCTTATTCTTCTTCTTCAAAAGTGTCACGTCTTTAAAATGTACACGTCAGTAGCGGCGGCGGCGGCGGCGGCGGCCTGCGCGATAAGGCGGAGCCGGCTCCCCCTCCCCTTCCGTGACGTCATACCCCCCGCGCCTCGGGTTCCCCTCGCCCCTCACCCCCCCCTCGGAGCCCCATGGCTTTAAACCGGCCTACCACCTCTACTAGAATCACTGAATAATCTAGATGTTACTAATACTATGCGATGTGTAAAACATGCTAAGAATTGTGCGTTACAAAATGTATTTAAAATATACAATTGGTGGTCGCAACGCCCAAAAGGATTGTATCAAATTTAAATAAATAAAAATATGAATTTTTTTTAAA